AACAATAGATATACACCCATACACAAAACTCCCGCCCATGAATGTGCCCTCCAAATAACGCCCTGCCGTTGTTTTGTCATCGGCCACCGAAACCACCCGCAGCCCTCAGGCGTGCTGTATAATCCTGCCCGAGACTCGGCCCTGAGCCTGTTTTAGAACCGCCTGCCTCAGCAAGCAGTATCCCATCGGTGCCCGCCCGACCCCCGTCCTATCTTGCCCCGTGTTGGGGCCAAGATGTGCGGGCAATGCTCCGGTTCCAACGCCGAGACCGTCCGAAATGAATGAATGGCGAAATATCACAACAATGCCACCTCCGTGTTCTGCCACCACCCGGTCGTTGTTGACCGTTCAGGGATAGTCCATGCCGATATCGCCCAGATCATCTTCGTCGGTCATGTTCTGCGGATCGATCGAGTGCTTCTTCAACATGTGCCTCTTCCAGTTGTCCTTCCTGGGGAAGGATTTTGTGCCCTGCCTGGAATAATCGCATCCTGGCTGGGTGCAGTAGAATTTGCGGGTTTTCGTGTGCTTGTCGTTGATGTGGCGTTTCAGATGCGTGATCGTGCCAAAGCTTCGCCCACACCCTTCATGCTCGCATGTGCACGGCCGTTCATGGTAGCGTCGGTGGTGGCTGCAATGGTTGTCAGTTTCGCTCGAGAAAAAAAAAAAAAGATCAAGAGTTCCACTTACTTGAACTGGTGAAGCGAGTTCTTTACGACGCCACAGGCACAGACATAAGGGGGCCCGGCCGGGGTCCTACCCGGGGACCGACCCGGAGATCTGCCGGGCGAGCGGCCTGGAGACGTTCCCGGGGAATGGCTCGGGGATGGCATGGGCGACAACCCCGGAGACGGACCCGGCGATGGTGAGAGGCCTGGCGTCGGCGACGGCCCGGCCGAAAGACCCGGCGACGGCATTAGGTGGCTGTTGATAGTAGGCTCCATCTCGGCCGGCGGGGAGGGGGAGGCCGTGTAGGGCGTCAACCTCGTTTCTGGTGTGTTCTCGGTGGATGGCCCGTGGGAGGGCGGTGGCGTCGAGTAATCGGAAGTCGTCAAGTTGGTGGTGTAATAGGCCATCGACTCCTCATGAACCTGAAACCCGTTTTCCGATATGGTGGGTGGGGGTGACTGGTACGGTTGGTAAGTAGCCTGGTACTGCGCTTGGAACTGGGCTTTGAGGTCGTTGTCGAACATCTGGCCAGCCATTTCCTCCACTGGCATCGAGATGTAGGGGACAGGCTCTGGTGCCGGCGGCGGCGGCGAGTTTTGAATCATGCGCATCTCGTGCTCTAGCATCCATGCGTTCTCGGCGGGGTTAGTTGGCTTCATCATCTCCATCGGATTACCGCTTGGCCCGGCAAAGGTGTATTGGAGGGGCGGGCTGGGAAGGTCGGACACGATGGCCGGAGGTGGTAAGCTGTCGGTGCGCTGTAACGGCCCGGGGAATCTCCTGCCCTGCAGGAAAGTATTTTGTCTGCTGAAGACACCAGGCGAGGCTGTCGTATCACTGTCGAGTGGGATGCTGTCTGCTCCCGCCACAGCAGCTTGATTGACCGGAAAGACGGGATTCGCTGGAGCCGAAGTTGGCACAGGCGCAGGCGGGGCAACGCTGGTAGAGGTTGCGGTCGGTGTGGACTGCGGGTACGTGTCGGACAGTTCAATGCCCAAGGTCGGGTCGTGATAGTAATCCCAAGCCAAGCCGGGGGTCTCTATGTCGATCTCAAAGCCGGATATTGTTTGCTGGGGTTCGGGCTGGGGGAGAAGGTCGCTGGTGATGACGGACGGCGAACGCGCTCCGTCGGTGCCAGCTTGAGTAGACCGTTTGCTGTCCCGACGCTGGTGGGAAGAGCGGCGGCGGCCGTGGATTAGTCCACGGAGAGACTCTCTGAGGTGAGGGAAGTGACTGTGCTCGGAGGAATTAGAAGGGCGCTCGAAGGACTCGGGCTCTTCAGTGATGCCAACAGCAGCGATGTTGGTGAGCTCGCGGCTTGGTGGCCCATACGAGTCACTAACACTGACTTGGCGAGTGCTCTCACGGTCGGCGGTGGCCCTAGATCCTTTGGACGAGGGCTCGGCCGGTGGTTGGGTGGGAGCGGTAGCCGTCAAAGGTGACGGGTCAGTCGGTGAGGTGGGTGACGAGACGGGTGAGGGTAGGCCGTGCTCGACGTTGACGCCCTGGGGGAGGGTCGACTGAGGTTTGTGGTTTGGGTCCGTGGGTTGCGGGGCGTCTTGAGCGGTGGCGGTCTCGGGGCCGGATCCCGAGTACCTTTTGTAGGAGTTGTCATCTACATCTTGAGGGTTGAAGATGGGGCCTCCGGGACCCTGCCCCATCTCGGCCAGACCGGGATCGTCATGGTGGGCGAGCCGTCGGCGTCTGGCACGGATGACGAAGGGGAAGATACAGAACGCGATGAGGAGTGCGCCGACAACCGACCCGACCACAGCCCCAGCGATGCCGCCCGGGGAAAGCGGGCTAGCTCTTGGAACAAGCATGGACCGAGCGAGCGGCCTCGCAGCCAGAGCTGCTGCGGCGCGCTGCTGCAGCTTGTGCATGAATCGAAAGCTCACAGAGCTCTTTGCGTAATTGAGAAAACCAAGTTTCTAGAAAGTTGAGAAAACGAGAACTATCAATCGCGGTTTAGGATGGTTGAACAGGGGGCGGAACCCCAGCCACAGTGTGATGGGCCGGCTCGAGGTCGGGTGTGCGGGCGCGGGACGAGGCTGTGCCAGCACCCTGCTACGAAGTACTCCGCTGTAATTCGCTCCACGGAGGCCCCGAAAGACCAGCACGACTCCCGATTCCCGACTTCCGTCTGTGTGAATGCAGTTGGTGCTCTCTCAATTACTCGAGGGGTGTGTAGCAAATGATGAAAATTGCAGAAGAAATGGCGGCGATGAGCGAGGGCACTGCTGCCTCTAGCCGGTGCTAGAAAGTTGAGTAAACGACGATTGAGGGGTCCATGGTAGGTGGTTAAGGTTGTGGAAGGTGAGATGATGGGACGAAGAGTGAGTGAGATGGGAGGAGGAGGCCTGAGTGGATGAGTGGGTTCGGTCGACTTTCAAGTTGGGTTCCCTGCAGCCAGGTGCAGGTTGGGAAACCCGCGGACTGTGACCCTCGACACCTCAGGCAACACATTCGCACCCTGGCTGGCATACCCTGGCACACCCTGGCCGCCCTGGGCGGCCGTCATTTACAGCCGTCAAACCATCAGCCTCACGGACAGGAGGCGAGGGGCTAGGCCGCTTCTGGAGTGGCTCGAGCGTGGGTGTGACGGGATGGCTCGTGTGGCCACGGGCCACGAGCAGGCGTTGCGCTGGCCAGCGGCAGGGGTCGTGACAAACCCGAATTGGTTGCCTCCCCCAAAAAAACATGGAACTTGGAGACTTGTTGGAGAGCTTGGTGGGAGCTTGGGAGGGTTGCTGTCAACCCCGCCAACCTACCCCGACTGTGCCGAGTTATGCAGTTGGTGATTTGGGTGATGCACCTCTCAAACAGCCCAGATCAGGCCCTCAAGAGCACCCGGACCAAATCAATGGTCAACCCGTCTCAGAGCAAACCATGATTGCCTCGTCATCCCGTTGAGAGGGAGATGGTTAGGCGTACACGAAGCAATCCAAGCCATCGGCACATGAAAGAGGAGGCCGCACGAAATTGGACGAAGATGGGACGAACGAAGGCACGAAGTAGTACCTGGGCTAACAAAATTGTCGACTTGACCCCATTGAACAACCCAGCGATCTTCCCTGCGCCAAGCATTTCGGGGCCCATCTGCCCGGGTCTCCCCTCCCAACGCCACATCACAACGTGCAACGGCACCAAGGGCGAAGAACGGCCCAATCACTGGGCTCACCTTTGGTCCAAAAAAGCCGAACTCGAAAGGGGAGCAAGAAATCAAGAATAGAGGAAGGAATAGAGGAAGACGTTAAAGAAACCGAGAAAAAGAAGAGGCAAAGAAAACCGAGCAAAATAACTTTGGGCTTTCGAATGGCTTTCTTTTCGTCCCTCTAGTCCAAGGTTTCGGTGGCACCTCGATTTGAAGTTCGGCTTTTTTTATTTTTATTTTTTTTCTTGGCCAGAGAGTGTCACCTTTGATGTCTCTCCTCGCCTCCGAGCTGTTATAGCGTGGAAGCATCCTGTCGGACAACTCACCACCACGGCCACTGCCGCGGGCACCACCCACTGTAGCACGGAAACTGCAGACAGTGGTGTTATACCCGGGCTGAAGCACCCCTTTTTCTTCTGGCCTCCATCAACAAACAATATCGGTACCTCAGATGAATAACGAGGGCCCGCCGTGTTGCCGCGCTAGGGATGTACTCTTGTGTTACCAAGGCTGAGGGTTCAAATGATGGTTGAAGCAAAAGAAAGGTTCAAAACGGATGGCCTGCTCTGGATATCGTAAAGAATATTTTTACCACCATTCAACCTATCTGCCCGAGTGATGTTTCGGTCCGCATCTACTCGCCGTCAATTCTACAAAGTAAGTAGAGGGCTTTCGGACGCTGTGTTTTCCTTCACCCCTGGCCCCTGCCATATGACATCTTTTCCATCGTCCCGTCTTCCACCACCACAAATACCATCCAACCCCACCGTCCAAGTCCCTTCTACGCACCCTCCGGGTGCAGAACCTTCGCTCAGTCTCCGTTCGTACCCTGGACGTAGTCCTCATCGTACTTCCATTTAAGCGCGTTTGGGTGAGCCTGGTACCAAGGGTCGATTTTCAACAGGGCAAAGCCCGGATCGGTGGGCGCGTAGGCCTTGGGCCAGCACGGGTTGTCCGAGAGGCCGTCGTCGACGGGTGGGTTGGCCGCGTGGTCCCAGGCCGTGATGGCAAACTCGGGCCATTCGTCCACGGTGACGGCGGCCAGGGTTCTTGTTTTAACCTTGTTGACGACGACGACCGAGGTCAGATGTGCGGGGGCGCGCACGACCTTATCCTTGAAGTCGCGGTCGGACAAGGCCTTGACGGGACCGTTGAAACAGACGCGCTTGAACATGCCGTTGCCAGCGTCTTGGTTCTGCCTGTTGGGGATATATCGCACCAGCTGGCCTCGCTTGTCTTGCCCGCCCAAGTACCACTCGGGCATCTGATCATTTAGGAAATATGCCGGGGGGAATTCGTCTCTGTCGCAGTTTTTTATTTTCCAACCAGCGCCATTGTGCTCATTTTCCCACTTGTGTAGAGCTGGCGAATCCACGGTACGGAGCTTGGCCGTTGTCGCGGCCTCGGGAGGGCATGTTAGCACGGCCCATTGGGGATTCACCCGGATGGCCGAGCTGTAATGATAGCAGGCCTGTTTCCAGGCCGCCTTGCACTGATGTTGGACCTGAGTAGCGACTGCATTTTGTGCCGAAATGATGGATGTAATGATGTACTCGGTCGTTTTGGTTTCGTCTTTAACACACTCCAAAATCCGGAGAACGTTGCGGCCCGCATAAAGTCGTTGGGATTTTTTGGACGTGGCTATCTCGCATTTCGGTTTGGGGCCACGGTTGGGGCCGGGGGCTCGGGGCGTGGTCTGGTCGTTGGGGTTGCCCGAATCTCCCTTTCTTCCGGATCCCTTGGGGATATTCTTGGGCTTTTTGAAGCTCGATATACCATCAGCAATGGAGTTGAGGATGTCGAACACTTCTTTGACCTCGTCCGGGACCAGATCTGTGCCTCCGCATGGAGAGAGCCACCATGAGAAGGCTCCTTCGGGATCTTCGGTCTCTGGATAAATGTACGAGGCCATTTCCGCAGCAGTGAGGAGCAAATCTGTAGAGGACCAGCATGAGTGAGCTGACTAGCATGTTTTTAAAGAAAGGGGAAAAGGGAGTGTTTGAGCTACATACCTAAACCGGCGGTCAAGACCCGGCCGGTCCCGCCGGTTGCGATAGTCGTCCCAATGTCGAGGACCAACTTGAAAGATGACATGACGATATAGCAGGCCGTCTGGCTCGAGTTAGTACGCCAGTGTGAAGGTGGCCGGACGGCGGCGATGGTTCGCTAGGACTTACCTGAGCAATGGCGGGCATTGCTTCGATTACCGTGTCGGCAATCTCATTAATGACAACGTTATCGCAGTTGCATTCGCCATTTGCCCACTTTCCAGGCAGTCCGGTAATCGTGTGGTACGGATCTGGAGCGCCCTTTGGTTGCCAGACCACACACCCGTAGTTTGTAGTCCTGTTCTCAGCCTCAGCCTCCGCAATGTACGGCGCACACACCGATTTGCACGCCGCTATTGACCGCCCCCACTCTCGCGGATCCTGTGAGAGGACACAGCCCATCCGGTTCGAATAGCGAGTATCTCCAGTGTCGACGTAGTTTGGGTCGTTCATAGCGTCCCCGGGGTCATCACCAGGGTCGAGGTCAACAATCGGTGTCGTGCAAACGTCGCCCGGGCAGACGCCGTACTTGCACCCAAATTTGCAAAGCTGGTTCAGCTCAACATCTTCATCGTCCCAGGCGATGATGTTGGATATATTCACTCCTTTTTTTTCGGGTGGGAAAGGCGGGAGCGGGCCTGTCTCAGTGCACTCACAAAGTGAGGATGGGCAAAAGCCATAGGTGCAGGCGAATTCACAGAGGGTATCCGTGTTGGTGGTGAGATCTTCCCCCCAAATGCAACCCTCCTCTCCCGGGCTGGGCAGGTCGGTGGGGACGGCTTTGTCTTCTTCGCCGAACCTTTGTAGGTCAACAGCCCAATCAATGGTGCCCGCAAAATTCAGCTTCTTCCACTCGGCTCGTCGAGCCTCCTTGGACGTCGGCGTCATGTAGCTGACATAGTCCCCTGACGAACCAGCATTAGCACCTTGGGAGCGAGGGGAGAAAGGCGGCTCAACACACCCTTATATAGCAGAACGTCCGTGTCAGAGGCGTCGTCGTGGAATCCGCGTGCCTCTCTTCCGCTCCGGGCGAGAATTTCCATAATCTCGGCGTACCCAAGATAGCCGGGTGTGTTCGTGCAACGGCCAGGGTGTGCGTCGGATACGAGTCTTGTCCCGGTAAACTCGCACATGGGCCCCCAGCAGCCGTCTTGGGCCATGTGGAACGAGCGGCCGTAGCTAGCTTCGCCGACGAAAATCTTATTGTTGGGCACGCCGGCCTTGGTAACTATCTCGTGGCCATACCTGGTTAGCACTCCTGGTGGTATGCCATGGGTGTAGGGGGATACAGACTGATGGAAAGCGAGCTACGCGTCTCGGTCAAGTTCACTGCATTCATGGGACGAGGCAAGTCAGCATTTGAGATCCCATCACTTCACAAGCTCATATTTCTGGGGTTCCAGGGGTCAATCGGCCCTACCGTGACTCCGGATGCACTTTCCGGACGGGCACGCGTCGTATGCGTCGGCGTTGCCATAATCCCACTGGCCGTGCAGGTCGTAGGTCATGAAGACGATGTAGTCGATCTGCGCCGCGATGCGGTCGATGGGGAAGGCCTGCAGGTACCAAAACGAGGCTGGCGCGGCAATCGAGACCGACTTTTTGGCGCCGACCTTCTGCTTCAGCGTGGTGAGGAAAGCGAGATATCCTGCGCCGTCTCCCTTTTGGCCGATGGGTTGGCCGCCCACGTCGATATCGGGGGCCTGCATTACACGGGAAACACGTTCGGTCAGCCAAAGGTTGCTATAGTAGGTATCCTGGAAATACTTAATACTTACGCCGGGATACTCCCAGTCGATATCGACGCCGTCGAGCCCTTCGTCGTCGAGGAACTTGGCAATGTTGGAGGCGAAAACGGCGCCGTTGTCGAGGATGGCCGAGCGGATGATATTAAAGGTCGCCGCTTCGGTCGAGTAGGCCCAGCCGCCAAACGCGAGGATACGCTTCACGTTGGGCAGGGCCTTGAAGTCGGCCCACTGGTTGTAGGGGTCTGTGAGAACAACCTTCCAACCGATCGGGTCGATCTCGGCGAAGGACCAGTGTATGTGGGTGTAGCTACCGTCGGTGTTGGCTGCCTTGGAGCTAAGCCACAAGCAGTCGCGCTTCATGTTGTACGACTCGTAGTACCCGATCCGCTGGAAGGCCGCGGGCGGTCCCGAGTTGACCTTAATGTCGGTCCCGCAGTTGGAGACACACGTGTTCTGGTAGCCCTTCTCCTTGCTTCCCGGCCCGCCCCCTTCGGGCGCGTGGATCTCGCAGTGGGCGGGGAACGGACCACAGAACCCCCAATTGCTGCAACAAGCTTTGAGAGGGCAGGGGTTGAGCTCGCCCATTGCGTTTTTCCACCGGTCAAAATCGGGTGGCAGCTGTGTTCCGGGGACTAACGGGCCGCAGCTGGCTCCCTCCTGGGGCGGGGGCAAGGGCGCGAAGCCGTCGCTGATGCACATGTTGTAGCCGAGGAGCATGTCCTTGCATTCCGTCCAACCCCATGTCTTGCCCTTGTTCCACGCTTCCAGCTCGCTGGTTGTGACGTGGTACCGCTTGGCTAGTACATCGCACGTGTCCCCGTTCTGGATGAGGTGTGTCGCGCAGGTGCCATCCAGATCTGGCTGCGGCGGCTGGGGCTTGTAAGGGTCGCCTGCCGAACAACACACATAGTCGTCCGGCATAAGGGTACCGCAGAGATCGGCTGCCGGGTTGTACTTGTAGAAATTGGCAGCTGAGATGCCACAGCGGGCTACGAGGGTATCGCAGCCGTCCCCTGCCACAACTTGGATATAACGGCAGGTGGCTCTCCGGTCTATCTGGCCGTTCCGGGCCCGGCGCTGCCGAGGGAGTTGAGTAAAGCCCGCTGCGGAAGATGTCGTGGCATTACCGTCGAAAGACTTGTTGTTGGTGTTGTTGTTGCTCCCTGTCACTATCGGCGCCCCCGCAACCTTGAAGACTTTCGCCCCTTTTAGGTCACCGGCGCCTTTGAGGTCCCCGCCCGCGGCACAAATTCCCTTGCTCCATGCTAGAGCTGTGCTTTGGAGCGCTGCAAGATTGGCGGACGCGCCGATCGCGATGCCAAACACATCTCCTGGCCGCTCCTTATTGCCGCAGAGCTGAGCAATGGTGTGGTTGGGCACCGCAGATTCGAGCCGAAAACGACTTTTGAGCGCTGTTATGGCCGACGTAGCGGTAGGCTTGCCGAGAGCCGCGCCAATGTAAAGGGCCGCAGCCGTTTGCTTGTGCCAGGCAAACAGGAAGTTCTCATCACAGTTGTCTTGGGCGCTGAAGAACTCCCCCATGCCCTCCAACAGACGAGCAATGTCGGGGGGGGTTTCCCCGTCGCCGCCATCGGTGCTGACGGTCACTTGTATGGAGGCCCCTCGGATTTCGGCTGGGGAATCAAGGCAGGCTGGAGACGAGTTCAACCCGAGGAGCGAAGAACTTCTCCGACTTCTTGGGGTTTGCCACAGGCCTTGGATCACGGGCCGAGGCCGTTCCAAAAGCTTGGTGAGAAGTGGTGTTGAGTGCGCAGCTGCGAATCAAGATGGTGGAAGCCGGATCGTCCAGAGGTTGCGTCACCGAGAACTGGAGTAGCAGAGGCTCCTCGCAACGGCGGAGGCGGTCAACTGACAGGTATGGAGTCCAGCTGTGAATATTGGCGTAGTCGACACAAGGGAGCGGACAATCATGCTGGCTAGGGTCGTAAGCCCGAGGGTCGCTGATGGGCGATGGGTCACCGTCGCCGGCTGGTGCCACAGCCTGAGTCCCATCGAGGTTCAAGGCAGCGTGGACGACATGGGTTCCAAGAACGAGGGATGCCGCGAGTGCCCTCGCCACAACCCGCACTTTCACAAGAGGGCCCGACATGAGAAGAACTGGCCTCTTCAACGTCGTCAGTCTGGCGGGCGAAAATAGGTGAGAATGTGGGATTCAGGGGCACGTACTCCAATGTGGCTCCCACCAACAGCCGGCGCCAACGTTGATATATAGGGGCATCTTCACGCACCAAGTCCCAGGATGGAGCTCTGAGATGAGTGCGCCTGGGTGCCATCTGTAACGCTTTCCCCGTCTATTCCCGAGAAACATGTATCTGTACATCTTCGAAGGAAATTAGTTAAAGCTTGCACCAACAGGCCGTGCCGATCACATCCTGGCGACCAGGTCTCACCGTCTCGGAGTCGGACACAAGAGGCTGTCAGCTTTTGGCCCCCACTGCCCGAGTGTCAGGACTCGAGAGCAACTGAGAACTTGGGCACTCGTACTAAGTAAGCCCCAGGGCCGTAACGCATATTATTGTGCAAGATCTGTCTCGTTTCTGTTTTCCGTATGTGTATGGCGGGTGGCATCTCATGCCGCGATCGCGTTCCTTCTTTTTTTTCTTTTTTTTCTTTCCAACGAAAGTGGTTATATGAAGTTCGCGACAAGTCAAGTGCCGTCAATTCCCTTGGCGTGAAGCTTGTGCTTGGGGGTGGGGGCTGAAAGGGAGAGAGCGAAGTGGAGAGAGGACTCCACTTCTTTGGTTGCTCGTTCGGTCTCCCGGTATTATTTTCAAGCATTGGGCTTACACCCACCAGCGCGTCGTTTCAGCCATCCAATTGACACACGAGGATACAGCTTTCGAGGGCTGCCAAGATCACTAGTGGTGCACTCGGTGATTCCCTGCCAGGAAACTACGGACATCGGCCCGCGACCGAGCGGAATTCGATCCGACGTCAGGCCTTTTCTAAGTTTTCTTCCTGTGAATCCTGTCTCTTCCCAGGCTACCAGGCACGAATGACCTTGCAGCCTTGCCCTTGCCCTCCTTTCGCATCCACTTGACAACTCGTTTGAATCTTCGCGACGGTCCGACGGCCATACCGACGACGATCTCACTCGTTCACATCCCCGCGGCCCCCAACAAGCGAAATGCCCCAGCTCGATGAGGTTAGTTACTCGCGCGAGGCGACCATTGCCGCTGTTCGAGAGTACTACCGCTTTCTTACCCGCATGTACCTCAACGAGTGCTACGTCGCCGAACCCCCCGAAGAGGGCTGGCCTGAGATCAACACCGAGGCCCTCAGTGGGTTAGGAAAAACGGACGAAGTCATCTCGTTGCTCCGCCATCTTCCTTACATTCGGGCCAGCAGTGACTGGGTTTATGAGGGTGCCCCCGGATGTCGCTTTGCTGATTGGCGAGACATCGCTCACTCCATCGCCCTCGGTGAACTGCCGGCCGAGGATCTGAGAAGCACGACCGAGGGTGGGCTCCCGGAATCTATATCCCCACATGTCGTCGGCCTCACCGATGGCGGGTTCCGTAACCTGGCATTCCTGCTCGATACCAAGCTCGGTATAATCTACTGGGACGACTGCCACAGCGACATCAAGAACAATCCCCCTCGGGAGCCCATCATCGGTGACGAGTACGAAGACGACTCCGACGTCGAGATCATGAATTGGCGCCTGGATGAATCAGTTGCGTGGACTATCCCCGATTTCTTCGAGATTCTCAAAGGCCAGTTCCGGCAGCTGAATTATGTTCCCATCAGCCCGCGTAAAGTGTACCATGCCGACGTCATTGAGCAACTCATGTCTAGGGCGGGGCAAGGCAGAGAGGGCCTCCCCATGGTGCAGGCCGTTTATCGGGCACACGGGTGGCCAGATATGGAACGCTACCGCAAGCAGGATTGTTTGAAGGCAGTCCAGGACCTGTTCGAGGAACGCTGTCCGGACTACGCAGACTCCCGGCGTTATGATGACGAGTGAATTCCGCCTCCGACGGCTTTCGGACTCTCTGCCGAAGGCCTCAGACCTCACGAATAAACAGTCTTCTATTTCAGGAACTTTGTGTTGAAATTGCATTTGCCAAGGTGCAAGGGCAAAATCTCCTGACTGGCCTAGCCGCCGTGTTTTCGAGAGAGGTGGGGACACTTTCATGGTTCGGCTCTTCGGTTCCACTTGCCAAGGCACCCCATAGGATCATGGAGGTGTGTACAGGTACATGCACGCAGACAGGGGCAAAGTCTGCTGTCTCTGGGCTACTAAGTGTCTTACCTATGTACGGCATTTTTCTGGCGTCTTTTTTTCCGCCCCCATCCCATCAGCCGTCCCATAGCTCATCTGCGACGGGGGTGGACCGATGGTACAAGACTGCTTCCTCAGCTTGACTTCCTCACTCGTTCGGCCTACTTCCAAGCTCTGCGGTTACGAGCCACGATCCATGATACCGTTCATACGCACACCAGCATGGCGAGAACAGCAGCCCTCATACTGGCGCTCGCCAGCTTCGCGGCCACCGTCTCCGGCCTCACGGACACGGCGTCGATCGACTATACCGACCTACACCCGATAGTTGCTCCCACGGCGGCCCCTGACGCCAGCGAAACAGATCCGTGGCGATGCGCAACTGAGGACCCCATGACCTATCTCTCCGTGCCGATGCCGACCGGAGAGCTACGGGAGGCCCATGATTCATTCGGCTCCAGCTTGATCCAGACCTGCCTCACATCCGGGACCTATGACTACCCCTGCGCCTTCCCCGACAAATCGCGGTGGTGCGGCTTCACCACGGCCATGCCCGCTTCGCTCCTCCCAGCGTACACACAGTACGCCCGCAGCGCATCTTCATGGTGGGCGGCCAACAGCGCCAGTGTCATCCGCATCGCCGAGGAGTGCCCCATCATGTGGTACGAAGCCTCCAACTTTGGGGTCTTGGGCGGCGCCGTCTTTCTGAACCACACGCTCATCAACGCCGAGTGCTATGCCGAAGCGAACCCGACCCTCACCTTGTCGGCAACCGAGCAGCCCACCGCCACACCGGGCCAGGGAGCCACGGAATCCGACCCGACCAGCACCGCGACCCCCCAGCCAACCCAAACAAGCAGCTTGCCCAACTCCCGGCGGTAAGCCCCCCACCATGTCCAGCATCATCCTTCTCCCCGTACTCGCCCTGCTCCTCGCGATTACCACCTCCGCCACATGTCAGCCCTCCCGCCCTTCCCCTGTTCCACCCCCCCCCCCCCCCCTTTCCAATCCCTCCCCCAAACCCAGCAACTTCCAGAGAGCCCACTTCCAGTCAGTCCCGCTAACCACACCACACCCCTCCACAGGATCCTGCAACGGCGGCACCCACGCCGACGGCGAATCCGACGCCTACGCCGATCTCTGCAGCTTCGCCTGCAGCTTCGGCTACTGCCCGCCGGGCCCCTGCCAGTGCACCTCCTACGGCGTGCCCGGCAAGCCGCCCGCATCCAATGGGATGGACGGCTGTCCGCTGGTCCCCGGCGGTGGGGGGTACGTGGGGCTGTGTAGTTTTGCGTGTAATCGGGGGTATTGTCCGGAGACGGTTTGTAAGTATTGTTAGCGGGGGTGTGGGGTTTGAGGGGTTGGAGAGAGGGGGGGTGAGGCTGTGGTTGACGAGGGAAAGTCGGGGAAGGGGAAGCGGAAAACTCAGTTGGGAGGAGTTTGTTTTTTTGCTGCAAAGGCTTGATTTATTAGTGGGGTGTGGCGAGTGTTGACGCGGTCATTTTCAAAAATCTACCTAGGCATTTCAGGCCACCTAGATCCTTCGCCGGCTCACTCAGGTGGGCAGTGGCAGCCAGATGTACTAGATCTCACCTACCTATGTAATTACCTAGATACCCAATGAGAGACGTAATATTGGGTTCCATAATAGCTTTCATTAAGAGAAGGTCTATTTCCACTATAAGGCTTGGCTATTTCCACTATAATCTCTATACATAACCCTAACCCTGACAAAAAGGTACATCAGTGATTCTGCCACAGCGGCAGGTCCCCTATCTATTCTGCCACCCCACCTCAACTGCCTTTCTCTCCTTCACCAACTCACCACTTTCAAGTCAATCGCGCCACGGAGCAAGTAGGCTCCGAGACACATACCCACTGCATTTTTGGCGCCTTGGTGAGCTCTTGAGCTCTATCGAAACGTATCACTTTTAACTACTAACTATGAGCTTAAGCAATGATTCTGACCAGCCAGAGGCCATAGAGCAGACTAGATAGACATAAAGAACCGACATTGTGAGCGAAAACGTCGTTGTTGGGCGATCCCAGCGATTCCAGCGATTGGGAGTAATTGAGAGCGACCGCAGGGCTGCGATGACGATGGGTCAGGCAGCGAAGCTCTGTCACCGCTTGCCTATTCAGGGAGGCGGTGAGAAAGTGAGGGCAGACGCGATGTATTATAGTGGAATAGCCGATCCTTATAGTGGAAATAGACCTTCTCTTCATTAATCCTGTCCGGAGGACAATATTGCGCTCAAACTTTTGGAAATTACTATGGGAAAGTGATAAGTTAATTGCGGGTCTGAGCCTGCCTTATCCTCCATCGGCAATTGGTCAGAAACTTCAAGCCTGGAGCCGTGCCTAATCACGTGCGTGTCAATTGACTTTCCCGCGTACGGAGTGTTTGCCGATTGTCGCTTGACACTTTTACTTCCGCTATGGGCGCTGTTGACAGTTATCATGGACAACAGCGCCGCATCGGTGGCGCGCAAGATGTGTCCTCGATGTCGCACCGAAAAAGACATCGGCCAGTTTCATGACCTTCGCGGTCATGGGAAGGTTGTTACACAGTGTTTAAAATGCCGGAACAAACGGAAGCTTCAAGTAAACCCTCTCCTGACTTCGTTTCTTTGCCTTACCTAAACCGTCGCAGCATACCATATCCCGAGCCAGTTCTTCGGCGGCCTCAGCGTCATCCTGATCGGGGACTTCTTCCAGCTTCCCCCTGTTCTGAACAAGCCGCTGTACTCAACGCGCGACGACCTGAAGGATATCGAGATGGTCGGGCGCAACGCGTACCTCTCGTTCGACAAGTCCGTGTTCCTGACCACAATACAGCGGCAGCAGGGCGAAGACCAGGCTCCTTTCCGGCGGGCCTTGGAAGAACTGCGAAAGGCTGATGTGTCGGTACCCTCCTGGGAGCTCCTCGCTTCGAGATGCTCTGTCAAGCTCTCACCCGAGGAGGTTGACAGCTTTGCTGATGCGCTTCGCATCTATCCCACCAAGGCCCAGGTCGTCGAGTACAACCACCAACACATGCTTGGCCTGGACAGCCCTCGCCATTCAGGTCGAGGCAAAGCATGAGGGTGTTGGTGCGGAGAAGGTTGAATCCTCAAATGCCGGCAACTTGGCCAAGCGCTTGCCCTTGTGTGTTGGTTGCAGGGTGATGCTGACGCGGAATTTGTGGGCCAACGTCGGGCTCGTCAACGGCGCACAGGGCACAGTCTACGACATATCCTGGAAAGAAGGTGCCGACGTGCTGCGAGACCCGCCCGAGGTCATCATGGTGGCCTTCGATGACTACGACGGCCCGGGCTTCACGATGCCGAACGGGGAGCCGCTCCGTAGTGGAGAGAAGCTGGTTGTTCCCATCCTCCGAGTGCGGCAGGAATTCATGATCGGCGCCAACTCATGTTCAAGAGAGCAGTTCCCGCTGCTGGTCAGCTATGCGATCACCGTCCACAAGTCACAGGGCATCACCCTGGACAAAGTCGTCTGCGATATCTCTGCGTCAGAGTTTGCTTCTGGCCTCTCCTACGTGGCCGTTTCCCCAGTAAAGACACTCGGCGGGCTGATGTTTGAGCGACCCTTCGACCGCAGCAGGGTCTATCGCGAGACACCATCACGAGCCATGGGTTTGAAGTTATTGGATCACGCTACTAGGCGACTGCAGGCGTTAGATGCTGTGGCCGGGGTGGATCCTTCAGAGGAGTTAAGTGGGTTTATAAGTAGCGACGAAGAGAGTGTAGAGGCATGAGTACTTAGAATATAATAGAAATGATTGGTATAAGTGTGATGAGAAGTTCAAGTGGATGGAGTTGTTGGCCGACGGACAGATATTGGCGCTTCGTCTCTCCCGTATTCAACCCTAACCCGGATTGTCCTCCGGAGAGGGACAGGAAAATTGCCAGGAGCGGGAGAGAGGAAGGAAGCGCCCCGTAGCGTAGCGAAGGGCCGCGCGACTGACGAACGAAGCGACGCCAGCAATTTTACAAAATGAGTGTGATACTATCCAATGCTACAGCATCACCGAGGTACGTATGCACGCGTGCCAAAGTTTTGGGGGTGCTCAAATCAGACTGCCGTTTATTCATAGACTCAAAAAGCGGAGGTCCCCCCGATGTGTCCAAGTAGGTGCCACTCCCCAAGTAGCTAAAAAGGAACCGAACTCTAGCTGTAGGTGGCGACGAAACATTTGATTATTAGATGAACGAAAAAAAAACTATTCGGAAGCCCGGAAACTAGATATCTAGCTTTTTCTTTGCTTGGTGTTCCCGCTGAGATCTTTTTAGCTTAGGCTGTGTTCCTGTCGGTCCGCTATGGAGCCGTATCATTGGCATAGGATGTGAGCGCTTCATGGGCCCGACTTCTATTTTGATGGTTCGAGTTAACAGAAACATGCGCAGTATTCTTTTTCTCTTTCACCTTTGTCGCGGACCTGGTCGACATTCGGCAGCGACCGGCGCAAAGACGGTCCCGGGTTTTCCGTCTAACCTGCTTCCAACCTCATGGTCACGACTGAACTCTTCAGTGTCTGGGTGTTTGTTAGTGTGATCCTTCGTCTAGTTAACTATAATTACCCCGGCGTGTATCTAAAATTAACTTGCCACCTGTGGCCCAGTAACCCAAATTCATGCAGAGATCGTGTGTAAGAGGCAACAGCCTTGGCAGGGATGACTTGGAGGGTGTACAAAGTACGGCGCAAGGGAGACCTGAGCCAACAAAAATCCAACTCGTTCATCCCACTGTGTTTCTCGGCGCGTTTGGTTGCTGTTATCCAGGACCTACCGCGATAGTCGGATAGCCTCGACAGCCTACAACCTCCGATCAGTAATTCAGGATGGTTCACCTCACAAACTCCATACTCGCCGTGGTGCTGGGCCTTTCGACTCTCTCCGCGGCAGCCCGCCATTCGACCGATTCCGAAAAGACACACAAGCCCTCGTCCTTTGGCTACTTTGAAGACTGTAAAGCATACACTGGCAGCGACCCCAACCCAGCCCCAATCATCACCGATGAGGATGGCTTTCCACGATACCTGGTGAAGAGGGATATCCCACAGGCCAACTGCAACCACCCTACCAAAGAATACGAGTTCCGAAACGGCCGACTGGTATTTGTCGGATACAAATATCCCAGCAGGGGCGCCAGGTGTGGCCGGCTGCCGAAATACCGGTACTGCCTCTGGCACACCATGTTCGGTGACAAGAAGGCCATGGCTGGTGAGCACGAACGCTAGGATAAAGGTCCACGAGTGTTTGCAAAGCAGAAGTGGTAGCTGACAACTTGAATTCCCTCAAGGCACCCGCAACTGCCTCCCTCATGTCGTGGAGCCGAACCCCCGTTCCATCTCGACTTGCAACTGCTGGGTTGAAATCATCCACCGCGGCGGAGCTGGAAGTAGGTGCTTTGTATTCTCTGTAATCTCTAACAAATGGGTCGATTGTTTAACTAATACCCTCCTCCTTTCAATCTAGCCCGCACATGCGATGCCATCGCGAAAGGCGTCGGAGCCACCGTTGAGCAGATCAAGGAATGGAACCCCTGGGTTGGCGACGACTGCGACAGCGGACTGTATGCCGGCATGGGCAGCTGGGACCCAAGGGCTGTCTGCGCAGGTGTCAAGGGCTTTGTACCGCCTGGTGGCGCCGACCTCTGACCATAGGTAGGTATATAGGCTTAGTAATTAGGGTCGAGCAGCTTCAGGGGTCAGGGCACGTTTATCCGGGGCATACTTCTTGGCTCCTTGCATCAGGATGCCTAGGTATGATCTATATGTCGGAGGAGATGATTGTGGAGGTTGTTTTATGTTTAAGATAAGAATCTTATCACTCTCTTCAGACTACCCATACTAATTACGACAAACCGGCAGCGCCCCCCATTATACCCCTGATTCTGACTTTTGTACGTGCCGACTTCCACCTAAAAAATCGGTATTTGCTCTTCCTTGTGGCAACCATCAGACTATCACAAAGCTGTCCCTGGGCCACTCCCCTCGCGTGACTTCACGATATGCCGCACCCTCCAGGCGATCTGTCATCTCCTCGCCCACATACTTGTCGTCGTCATACTGGTAGGGCTGAAGCCCCAGCAATCCGACTCGACGGTAACGGTGTTGCGGCCCGCTGCGATCGTGTTCTGCCGCCAGCGGCTGTAAGATGAGGAGATAGAGCACTTTATCCGTCTTTGCAATCTGGACAAGTGTGAACCTGGTGCTGCTGCTCGATACTGTCACGGAGCGACTGCTGGACGTCGAGGCGAGGAAATCCGGTCTAGTGAGGACGATCTGTGCTAGCTTTCTCGTACGCGGCAGCCGCCCCAGCCGTGTCAGCGCCCTCAACACCAGACTTGCAGGGCTTGATAAACCACCCGAGTAGCTGCCGAGCCAGAGGTGGAGGTGGCGATAAGGGGCTTCCAAGACTAGCTCGCCGCCTTCTACGCTGCCAAAGTCGTCACCGGGTTTGCTACGGACCTCGACGCTGACAACCTTTGCCGCATACGTGTAGGGGCCCCGGTAGAATTGGGTGGGCCAGGATAACTCAGCGCCAGACTTGGCTCCCGCCCAGCTCCACGACGGCGCCCGGTGCTCGGAAGAAACCCCCGGCAGCATTTCGTCATTAGAAGACTCCGCTGTGTTGTCCTGATACTCATAATACCCCGAAAGTCGAAGCAGCGCACGCAGAAGTGGACTTCCCGGCGGCCCGCGGCCTTTTGGCCCTGTGACGGCACCCCAGAGTAAGCCTTGGAGAAGATCTCCCCTCCAGAGCCCTGCGCAATACTGGTCCCCCAGCTGTGCATGAAAACGCTTCGCAAACGCGGCAACTGCCGTCAAGTGGTCGTTGTCGGATGTGAAGTTGCCGCTTAGTATGCTCTTTGACCAACTTGTACCAAGCCGAGTACGCTTGCCTCCGTGGGATCGGCCCCGTCATCGGGAATTTTAACCCTTGAAGGATCGGATAAGATCTCAGACTCCTCGGATGGTTCTATAGCCATGCCGGTACGACAATGCCAGATTATCCGTTTACTGAAATAGTCGGACTAGCTCTACGATTGATCTCTCAGGCGATCCGAGACTTGCTCCGGGTGGTGGAAGGATTCCAAGTCTCCAAGTAATAGCTCGTCGAGTTTGAGCGTCGGAGGAGAGTACAAAAAGTATGCAAATGGTCGGACAGAGCTGACTTCCCACATATGTGCGGAGAAATGTCGAAGGCTTGAAGCCCAACAAATGTTGTTTTGCGGCCGGGGTACATACGTACCAATAAAGAACCTGGTGTAGCTTCACTTAGCTCTAGCTTCTTCGGGACTTTTAACTAGGTAACCATTTTGATAGGGGCTTGGCTTGCTCAAGACTATTAGCCCGTTGATATCAGGGTGATGGAGGCGTCAAGTAGAAGCACGAGAAACTGCACCATTGCAACGACAACAATGATGTTGCTGGCAAGACGTTCTCTACACAGTAACGATGAACAATGATACCCAATCAAACAAAAATACCATGACGCACTCCAGCTGCACAATTGCTACTTGGTGTCCCGCATTGGTCGTACCAGCAGCTCTCCAAGGAGGCGTTGGGCAAGTCTGGAACCGCGGGGTCGACGACCAATCAGTTGGCCCATCAGGCCATCGATGACGCCGAGGGCGGGATCGAGTCCGCGCGTCACTGGCCTTTGCCTGTTTCTGCCCCCGAGTTTCCCGAATATGGGCTCAGGTGCAACCACCATTTAAGGGGTTCTCAGCTGCCTGTTCTAGTGGACCCGAGTCCTGTCTTAGATCAGTCTTAAATACGAAAGACGCATCGTTGAATCATCTCTTTCGGTGTAAGTGCATAGCCGAGCTTCCCGAGGAGCGACCATGAAGCCGTTTGCACTCCTCTTCGCGGCGACTGCCGCCGCTCTCGTCACGCCTGGCGTGGTCAGCAAGCAACAGACACCCTTGGCCACAGACCAGGACAAGACAGCAGAGCAGAATGTCGTCCAGGCCTGGTGGGATGGACTCCCCAACCCGACCAGCCTCATGTCCCCGATCGAGGACCGCATCACCAAGAGCATCCAGCACAGCACCCAGGATGATTTCCTCTCCCTGATCGACCCCGAGGCGCAGGAGGAAGACCACCCGCACCCGCACCCCCGGCCCCCGCACCGCAGACACGGCCGGCACGGCCACCACGGCGACCCGGACAAGACCATCTACGAGCTGATCAAGGAGAACAAGCACACGACGCGGTTCGCCCACCTCGTCGAGAAGCACGACGAGATCAAGCAACTCCTCCAAGACACCAAGCACAACCACACCCTCTTTGTCCCGACCGACCGCGCCTTCAAACACTTCCTCCTCCACCACGGCGGCGGCGGTGACAACGACGACGACGACGGCGACCACCACAAAGGCCCCAGCAAAGAATTCCTCCTGGCCCACGGCAAATACCACATCACGCCCGGCCTGTACCCCCTTCCACCGCAT